AGGAACTGAAAGAAAATTATTAGGAGAAAAGCCTTTAGCACAGATCTGACTGGTTGCCTACAGAACGTTTGGTTTTCTTTAAAGCAATATAGTTTTTAACATTCTCCATCACCCTGCATATATGAATCTGCTCTCATAGAAAACACTAAAGACTGAGTACAGCTGCCTGTGCCACCATGAGAAAAGGGCAGATGGAACCAGGGGATCTGGAAGGATGCAGTTTCTGACAAATTACTTAGGTTTTATCCTTCCTGGCATATTCTTGTCTACAAAGCAATGACACACTCAAAATACCACACCAGCAACTTGTCAGATAAACACAACCCTTGCGTTTCTGGCATGTTTGCTTGTAGAAAAATCCATCAGCTGGATTAACATCTTTAGTCAATAGAAGCATTCTAAAACCGTACTTTGTGATCTCAGTGCAACATATCATCAAACAGATTCAGCACAATACCTGGTGTCTGACAGCTACCTACAGGAGATGCAACAGGGCAAGCATACAAAGGTGCTCTCCTAGCTCAGCACCTTTTGTGCTTGGAGAGGAACCTGCAGCAGTTTCCCTGGTTGAAGGTGTTGTATTGGCCTTGCATCCAACCCCTCCAAGTGGGCTTTTAGTCCATGGATTCATCTACTGCCGTTAGCTGATGGACTCCCATTAAAGAGAGTAAAACAGCACCTATGCATTAACAAAGTCCTTTTGCATTGCTACCAGCTAATTTCAGGAGCCCTCTCAAACTGCAGCTTCTATGAATACTTGTATATTTCCACATGTAAACCACCCCTCATTACCTGACTGCAAGGTCAGTTAATTTATACTAATGGCTCAGACTACAACTGAAACAACTCCTAAGATGTAAAGAGTATTGACTGTGTTTTCCTGGAGAATTGGAACCAAGCAGACCCATGCAAAAAACAATTCTGCGGCTGGTACCTGTTATGAGGAAGTTGCCATGCTCTTCCAGGGGCTCACTGTATTTCCTGACAACATGGTTCAAACCCAAGTCCAATTCATAAAACGTCAATGTCTGCTGTGTGTTGGCTGCAGCTTCACCTGTTGGATCGTTGTCTGCTTCCTAAAACAGAACACATCGAGGCATCTTTGAAAAAAACGATTAAAAGGAGGAGCAAAGCTGATGTGTTGGGAACAGTTTTGAGTAACAAGAGAATGGAGGCCAAAAGACTCGCTGGAAACTGCACAAGTTCAGACCAAGAAAACAAGCATATTTTCAGTTGAAAAGCAAAAAGAATCAATCACCAGGACAGAAGAGACTTGCCCATTCTGGCTGAAGGCAAGACAAAAAGACAGTAAGTCTGTAAAAAATTAAATCTGTCCCAGACAGCAGAAGCAGCCAATGTCTCTCAGTGACAGATGAAGAACAGAATCGGAACAACAAAGCTCAAAAGACAGCAAAGGAAGATGATGCTCTTCTCACCTCATAATCCATTTCCAGACAAGCAAACATTGGGTTTTCAAACCCCACATCAACTCCCACCACATGGTAGACCAAGGTGTTGGCCTTGTGGGCTTCCAGTGGGGAGGAAATGGTGAGTCGAGCAGCAGCATCTCTGTTCAGGATATACACCAACTTCTGCTTTTCGATGGCACCTGCAAGAAAGGACAACAGCACGTGAAGCCCATTATTGGATAATCAAATCTGACCATACCAGCAGCCCAAAATCAAGCTGTAACTTGGAAAGAGATCATCAGCACTACTTCAGCTGAAGTTCACCACTGGTGTTTATTTCTGTGCAACCAATTAACCTCAAATGTCTCATTTTAAATCTTTCAGACTGCAAGCACCAAATGACAACTTCAGCCCTTTAAAGACAAAGCCTGACCCTTTGAACTACATTCACCTGGCCCAATATTCCAAATACAGTGGCTTGAGGCATATCTACTCTTTTTACCACACAAGAGATGACAAACTGCAAGGAAGCAAAGACAAACGGAAAGAAGCATCCAGATGTTCTGCTACTTAAAGCCAGTTGGTATGACAACTTTTCCACAGAAATATTCTAATTAAGAAAAAGTATCCTTGCCTGACACACAGCATCCACAACATAAAAAATACCACTCAAATATCAACATGACTGGCACAACTGTGACTGTGCTACTTCTCACTCAGGAAAACCAGACATGTTAGAAAAGAAATAAAGTTATTTATTGCTATTCCCAGTATACTGGTAAACTACCATCAACACTGCACAGAGCTGCCTTCAGCAAACTGAGAAAATTCCATACACCTTATGCTAAATCTTACCAAAAAAATTATCCTAAGTGTCCTTCTACCTGTGAAGCCTGATCAGAAATGCATCGGTCTATCTCCATGAGACATCTCAGAGAAGAGAACATGAACTCGGAACATCATTTCAGGCCATGGGAACTGACTGGCTGCACTGTAGCACTGACACCTGCAATCCCATCCTCTCTCCAACACATCACACTTCAGGGCTCTGCGCACTGCTAAGCAAACTGATCTCCTTCCAACTTGTTTTGGTTCAGCATTACAATTTATTTGTGCAATTCCACCAGCATCAAGGAACAATTCTGAATGCCTGCATTCCCCTTGACACACCTCACAGCCTAAAACAATTATAATTCCAATTATACCTGGCAGAAACCTGCTCCAAAATAAACAGCCACAAGAAGATAACAATAATAAGAACACAAGCTGACAGACTTACTGATCATGACGGCGCGGCCCTTTGGGTCCACAGCCAAGTACTGGCCCGGAACGATTCTGCGACATCCACTCTTGCCAAAGGTTTCCTGGTGGATCTTCTCGAAGACGTTCTTGGAGGGCTGGTACTCCAGAATGACAATGCGCCCCGAATCGCTGCCCACCACGATGTAGTCCTTGGTCCCCCCCGTCAGCCTGAAGGCCATGAGGGACCGGATGACTCCAAACACTTCCACGGTCAGCAGAGTGTGAACCTTCCCTGTGTTGGGATCAGGGCGGAGTAACTCCAGGATCTTGCCCCGGGAAACAACAATTTCTTGTTGTTTGGTTCCTGAAGAACCCAAAACATGAGCACAAGTCAGCAACAGAACATACGACACACAACTTCAGCAAGCACTACAAGGGAAGAAGGGGAAACTTCCAAATGCCAATTTTAGGACTAGAATGGAGAAACTCAGAGAAACTTATTCACCACATTACATATAACCATTGTTTGAACATCTTCTAACATGTCAGAAAATTAGTCAGAATACTAAACTAAATCTATAGATAAACTAGACTGATAAATAATCAAGACAATCTTCTCTCAATCTATCTAGCCACAAGCTACCACAGCTCAAGTAACACTCAAGAGCAAATGATAATGTACCAGCAAAAAAACCCCAGAGGTACAAAAGCAAACTGGTACCCAAAAACAACCCGAAGCCAAGACACGCGGAAGGAGGAGAATATTACCTGAGAAATTGCCATGGATAGCAAAGCTAATGCCTGTGGCACGCTGCAACGTTAGGTTGTACAGAAACATGTTGGCAACGGATTTGCTTCAGCTTATCGTAGACTCTGGTAATTCTGCAACAAGTAACACAAAATAATAAACTTTTCAAAAGCAAAACGTTTCATCCATCAGAAAGAAGCGCTGCCCTCCCACACGTGTACGGATCCCGTTACAGCAGAGCCCGCCTGCTACCCCGCTATTTGGTATTTATTAGCGCGACGAGCAAAAGGCTCTGCCAAGGTGTCCGGGTGCCGAGCGCCAGCTGAACTCCTTACTGCCGGGCGGCTGAGCAGGACTTCCAGTAATTACAGCTAATTAGTCACGGCTTTAGCTTTTCAGGAACCAAACACAATTAGGGACGCCCTCCGGGATCCCCGCGCCGTTACACATCTCTGGCGCCGCCGCTTCATTGAACACGGGTGCAGCCACCCGCAGCGCTCAGGGCCGACTCCTCTCCCTGAGGCTGAGGCGGAAGGGAACCTCGGCAGGAGCCCGCCGCCCCGGGCCGGGAAACCGGCCCTCAGCCCTGCCGAGGCAGGGCACGGAGCCAGCACCTCCCCGCGCTCTGCGGAACGCTCGCCCCGGGAACCGGCCGCAGGGCACTGCCCGGCCCGGCCCCCCTCACCCGGCCCAGGCCCCGAGGGGTCCGCGACGCTCCCCCTCCGCAATCCCGGGCGCCGTCCGTGGCGCGGAGCCGCCGCCGGGCGGGCGGAGGTGCGCTCACCGTGCGGATGGCGGCGGATGCTGCTCCGGCCTAGGCGGGCGCGCCGCCGGCCTCCTCCGCCATCAGCGCCGCGCCTGCGCGCTGCCCTCCCGCGCCTTCTCCGCGGGGCTTTCCGCCTGTCCGGCGCGCGCGCGCGCCGTGTGGCGAGGGAGGTTTGCCCAATGAAGTGCCTGAATAATCGCGGCGCTATGGCGGCTGCTCCCTGCACCAAGAGTCCCCCCAGGAAAACCCTCAGCCTCCTTAGAGTATGGAGATCTGGAGGAGCGTTGGCTTTCCTCGCTGCCGGGCGGAACCGAGCGGCGCCGGGGCTCAGGCACCGCCTGTGACGGTCCCGCCGGGCCTCACGGCGGAATGGACGCGTCAGCTGCGGGCCAAGATGGCGGCGCCGGGGCCGAGGGCGCCGCCGGGGGAGAGCGGCGGCCCCGCCGCCTCCGCCCTCTCCATGGAGCGCATCCAGTCGCTGACCGATCTGGCGGACCTGGAGGCCGCCTACAGCCGGCTGTGTGAGGAGGAGGTGTGTGGGGCCGGGCGTGGCAGGCAGCGGGGCCGTGAAGCGGATACCTCGCTGTCGCTGTGCCCCTCGTTGTTGCAGACTCTCCAGAGGGGTTTGATACGGACTTGCCACCCCTGGGGCCTGGCCGGGGGGCGGTGGCGCCTCCGCGGATCCCTGAATCGCGGGCAGCGTGGAGATTCTGGGATCTGGCGCACTGGCAGCCCGGCCAGGGGAGGAGGTTGTGGGTTATCTGACTTAACAGCGGTGTGATGAGGATTCCAAAACCGCTGCTTTCAAATAGAAAAACCATAAAGATTTGGAGGATTAAAGAGAGCTTAGAAATGATTTATTTGTCCTATGAGCTCTTGGAAGCTCTAATGCCTTGTGTCCTTGTCTTGGATGTAGGGTCTGTGATTAATTGCTGGTCTGGAGGAGAGCTGAAGTCACACAACACCTCCTTCATCGTTTTTTTTTTTTTATTTTTTCAGAAAGTCGTGCAGGAGGAGCTGGATTCCCTCCTGGAGCAGCAAAGCACTATAGAGAATAAGATGGTTGCCCTTCATCGCATGGGGTTAGTGTCCCAACCCCTCTTCCTTCTTGCTGCATGACCCAGATGCTCCTTTCAGTGTTGCAAGGGAAGCACATCCATTCTCAGAAAATGTCAGACTTTGTGTCAGTTTGTGGTAGAGAACACGAGTTGGATCCTCATCCCCAGGTGCCCAGTTCTTCTCAGCAGCACTGACAGCTGTGCCCTCACCCAGACTGACCCACATTTTAGTGTAGGCTCAGAAGCTTTTTGACAATGTCATCTCAGAGGTTGCCAAGTTTCAGCATCAATTGTTGGATCAGGTGTCTCGTGCCAGGCTGTCTACAGGTATGAACAAATATTACTGCCTCTTCAGGGTGAACTTGTGCAGGCAGGCTGGAAAATCATCCTAAATGGTCTTGAGTCTAGGAGAAGCTCCAGGGAAAGGTTTATAGTCTTCACCTCCACTTCAGGGAATGTCATAAGGGCCCAGTGGCTTGTTGGTGCCGTGTGGTAGCAAGGCACAGTTGTTCTGTGCAGCCTCTTCCAAAGCAGCCAGTTGATTCCTTTCTCCTGCTTTGCTCCCAGAGGAAGGGACTGAAACGAGGGAGAGTGTTGTGACAGGACCAGCTGTATCTGAAGGAGGAGCCATCCTCCTTGCACACCATCCTGGTGGTCAGTGTGTGCCTCTCACGCTCATTCCGGTGTGTTCCCAGCCCTAACCTGCAGCTGATTGAGGGGGATGCCCAGCAGCTGGCAGGGATGATCACCTTCACCTGCAACCTGGCCGAGAACGTCAGCAGCAAAGTGCGTCAGCTCGACCTTGCCAAGGTAGCTGGGCTGAGGGGGGCTGGAACCTGTCACCACCAAGCTGTGTTCTGTGCTCACAGCACACCAGATGTGCCCTGCCTTTGGTGGGCAGGTGGGCTGGAACTGCTGTGGTTTTTTATTTTAGCTGTGTATTTCTGGGCTCCTGGGTATTGCATGGTGTAGGTCTGGTAGGATGATAGAATGGTTTTGGCTGGAAGGGACCTTAAAGCTCCTCTTGTTCTAGCTCTCCTGCAGTTGACATGGACACCTTTCACTAGACCAGGCTGCTCAGAGCTCCATCCAGCCTGGCCTTGAACGCTTCTAGGGATGCTCCTCCATATAGGAGCTGGTTCTCCAGCATCCCCTTCTGCCCACGCAGCTCCTGGTAGAATACCTGGATAGGGTGACTAGCAGTGCTGGCAGCTACACAGTGCTGAGCACAGTGCAAATGGTCACCCAAGCCAGGTCAGGAATCTGGGCTGTTCTGTTCCTTGTCTGGGGACAGGCTGAGAGGTGTCAATGCCAGTATTTGCACAAGTGCTCAGATCAAACAGATAAATATGTGGTGTCATCTCTGGTCTCTGCCTGTTTGTTACAGAGAACTGTGGCCTCCAATTTCAGCCTCAGTTTTGACAAATGCTGTTCATCCTGCAGAGCCACTGGTCTTAGCACTTTTTAAGTAGTCCAGAAATTTTGCTTATGCAGTAGTTTTGCTGTATAGAAGTATTGCTGCAGTCTGTTTTTCCCTCACACTGTCTTCTGACAGTTCCCTGTCCCTGGCCTATCCCACAGCTGGAAGCATTACTGGTTGCCTTTCTTTCAGAACCGACTCTATCAGGCCATTCAGAGAGCTGATGACATCCTTGACCTGAAGTTCTGCATGGATGGAGTTCAGACAGCCCTGAGAAATGAAGACTATGAGCAAGCAGCAGCTCATATCCATCGCTACCTGTCTCTGGACAAGTCAGTGATTGAGCTCAGTCGTCAGGGCAAGGAAGGTAAGCACTGTTTGTGAGGAGATGCTGATGAGTCACCTTTCCAATGGATATCTAGAGGCTGCTCATTTCCCGTGGGTTGCCTCAGCCCAACAGGCAAAGCAGAAAATTTAATGCAGGCCAGAGATCTTAGTATTTTATAGACTGACTTGGGGTGAAGGTTCTTGAAGCGTTATTACACCAGAATTATCATTAATTGAACAGGATGTTCCTGGCACACAGCTGTAATAGTATTTCAGGTGCTAACTAAGCGAAGGACAAAATGCTCAGGCCAGAAGTGAGGGAGAAGTTTCTGTCAGGAATTGTTCTTGTGTCACGGTGTGCTACCAAGCAGAGCAACTGGAAATGAGAGAGTAAATTGCTAGATTCCTAAGAGGAAAATGCCAGTGGATGTGTTGTCATTCTTCATGCAAAAACACAACATTGCATCATGCACCAACCTGTCTTGCCTGTAGAGGAATTCCAGTGGGTCTTCTGCCTTTTCAGTTTGGGGCTACACAGTGCTGGTCTCTCTCCTGGGGAAAAAAAAAGTAGCCTTTGATACAGTATTAACATTGTGCTGTTGCTTTTCCCTTTCTTTTCTGTCCTTTTGACCAGGGGGAATAATTGATGCTAACCTGAAACTCCTGCAGGAAGCAGAGCAGCGTCTGACAACAATTGTTACGGAGAAATTTGACACAGCTATGAAGCAGGGAGACCTGCCCCAGGTGGAACGGTTCTTCAAGATCTTTCCTCTGCTAGGCTTACATGAAGAGGGGCTGAGCAAGTTCTCTGAGTACCTCTGCAAGCAGGTAACAGGCTCTGTGACACCCAGGGGAAAGGAAAACCCAGTCTCTGTCAACAGATGTTCTGGAAGGAGGTTTTGGCAGTGGCTTGTTAACCTTAAAAAATAGCACTGGCCTTAGTTCATATCTCTCCCTGCATTTGCATGCTGGGATGGGCTTTCTGGTGTCTGTGTCTTGCTCTGTGTGCTTGCTTAAAAATTATCCAATGAGCCTGGAAAGAGAAGAGCAAATTTTTACCTTTCCTTGAGCCTTGAGTTTTCCACAAGAGAGGAAAGGATCCCTGTTCAAAGGAGGAGCAGCAGCAATAGCTCTTGCATTGGGAAGGCTAATGAAAGCTCTCTAGGGCAAGGACAGAGGACCTGAAGGTTGAAAAATACCTTTGGGTGTTCAGCTGACTGGTCCTGTTGCCATGCAGGTGGCCAACAAAGCAGAAGAGAACCTGCAGCTGGTGATGGGGACAGACATGAGTGACCGTCGAGCTGCTGTCATCTTTGCAGACACCCTGACACTCCTCTTTGAAGGTAATCTTCCCTTCCTCTTTCCTGATTGATTGCAAATAGTCCATGATGAGACTGTCCATCAATTTAAATGCTTTTAATTTTAGCTCACAAAATGCCTCATTCCCCTTTGAGCTACTTATGTCTCACTCAAGGGACAGGGACAAAACTACTAGGAATTACTCCAACCAGGAGAGGGCATCACAGTAAGCAAGTTTTCCTATGTACATCTTGTATAGGCACAAAGTGTATTTGCAAAGGATTTGTTGGCTTCCTCCAGGAATCAGACTCTTCCCGTTCTCTGCATCCTCAAAACAAATGGGCATTCCCTGGAGGTTTCTTCAGACTTGCAGCTCTCCTGACAAACAAATCAGATCCCTTAGGGATATGCAGCTGTTGGTGTCTCCAGGCCTGGCTCTTCAAGAAGCACCATGGGAACTTGAAAGCAGAGAAGGAAGGGAGAGAAGGGAATATAAATGCTCTGTGGGAATGCCACAGACAGTACTTGAGATCGCTTGGTGATGAACCACCTTCTCTATGAAATCTGCTCTAGTTCAGGCTGCACCCTTGCCAAGTTACTCTCCCAGCCTGGCACCAGTAAAGCTTTCTTGGCAGTAGTGTTAAAAGCAGAGGGAGCATTGCTAACTTTTGGAGTAGAGCGTTTGTGAGAGGGCAATATTGTAGAGATACTTCCTTGGAGATGAGTTTTTCCTCCAAGGAGTTCTTGCTTTTGCTAATCCTTGCTCTCTGCAGCAAGTGTGTGCCCAAGAGCCATCCCTGGGCTTATTTTTCCCTGTAACCTTGGAGGTGCTAAAAGCTGGGACTGTGTTTGGGTGGCAGCTGTGCCCCCTGCCAGATTTAGCTTGTGTGGCTTTGTCCTGGGGAAGCTTCATTCCTTGTATCTTGCTGGGCTGAAGGGCAGCTGGCAAACAGGGCATGGCAGGAGTTCTCTTTAGGGACAGAGAGATGGCTTCTGCTCCAGGAGATCCATACTCTATCTGTGGAGTGAATGATCCTTTTTTAGGTCTGGTCTGTGGACCTGTGTAGCTCTGCTGTGCTCTGGGAACGGCTGGTTGAGTCTCTCTCCTCTCCCTGCAGGGATTGCTCGCATTGTGGAGACCCACCAGCCCATCGTGGAGACCTACTACGGGCCAGGGAGGCTCTACACCCTCATCAAGCACCTGCAGGTGGAGTGCGACCGGCAGGTGGAGAAGGTGGTGGACAAGTTCATCAAGGAGAGGGACTATCACAGGCAGGTAAGAGCAGTGTGAGGCTGCCTCATGCAGCCAACTGTGCCCTCCATCCTGTTCTGTGGGGCTCCCTCTGCCATAGAGGCAGCAGAGTTTGACCTTGTGTATTGAGAGAATCCTTGCTTTACTACTTATTGACCCAGACAGCTGAAGGGGTTCAGTCTGTAACTGTGCTTTCTGATGCAAAGTATTTATTGGGGGCATGGTTAATGCAACCTGGGCACTCTTTGCTGTGCAGCTCTGCACCTTCCCCACTGCCTTGTTCCTGCTTAGATGCAGGGCTGCTGTTTCTGTCTCATGGTCACATACCTTGGTGCCTCTGGCCAAGTCCCATCCCACCACCCTTCCTGGTAGGATGAGCTCTGCCTTGGAGGAGGAGGAAGTGAACTTACGTTATTCCTTTCTCTGGTAGTGCTTCCTGCAAAGCATTCCAATTACCCCCAGAGAGCAAGCACTTCCTTAGGCGACAGCACAAGAAGTGTCTGGTAACTTCAAGTCATCAGCAAAGTCTTCCTTTCTTTTGTGATTGCAGTTCCAGCAAGTCCAGAATAGCATGATGAGAAGTTCTTCTGCAGAGAAGATTGAACCAAGGTACAAAGAAAAACTCTTTATGCTCTCCAACCTTTCACTCTTGAGTTGTTATTAACACTACTTAGCATTTAGATAACTCTCCCACTCTTCCAAAAGCTTTGTGGTTATTAATTTAAAAAATCCAATCGTTAGGTGCCCTTCACTGCCCTTCTTTAAAAGAAGCTTCTGTAGTGGGGCTTTATTTTGCTTAGTCATTAATTCTAAGCCTTAGCTCTAAGCATTCCTGGGGGATTGTCAGTATCACTTCCATGAAGGAAGAGGTTTTTAACTGCCTGTGCCCACTACCCTTTCATGGCCAGAGTACAGTCCTTGGAGCCCACAAAACAGGGCACCTCTCTTGAAAGATAATTTATGACAGAAACAGGAATAAATCTTTGGATCTTACTTAATCTGCAGCAGCTCCATACCATCAGTTTCTTGACAACAAACAACAGTGCTTTCAATCTCCCTCTGTTTCTTCTTATTGTAAATATTTACATAACCCTTAAGCAAGGCCATTTGAAAGTGTACCCAGCCCTTCTGGGACTGCCTGACATGCCTTGAAATGTCAGGAATGTGAGGAACCTTGAGGTTCCTCAAGGAAGATCTGTCTGTGAGCCTGCATAGTTAATATTTCTGCAGTAATATCTACTTACTGTTTGCTCTGAGTAACTGCATGCATTCTAGTTTTCTGATTTTTTAATTTTTCATCTGTAAAATAAAGCTGATGTTTCCTTCTCCCACTTGTGCACCATAAGTCTTCAAGTAGGATTTGTAAAATTCTTCTGTGCACACTGATGAAAAAGCTGATGTGTCAGTCTTTCTTTTTTCAGTCATCTCTGGTCTGAACACTGTGTTCTGCATTGTAACATGCTTTTTTGTCTCACGTTTCCTGAGCTGTTGAGCTTAAACAGATTCTTCATCATCTGCAGGGAAACACATGAGTCTGTGCACAAAAACACATACGTGGAGATGGCAGGGACCAGGCATTTCTAACACTACATAATAGGGCTCATGGAATTGTAGCAAAACTGAGGTAGGGAAGGACAGATAAGGATCTCTAGTTAAACCTCCCATTCAAAACAGGGCTCATTTTGAAGTTACATCAGGTTGCTTTGAGTCTTGCAGTCCTTACCACTGTGATTTCAACGTGAATGTCCTCACATCTATGAGGAGAAAGAGTGGGAGTGTTGCTAAATCTTGGAGTAGAGTTTGTGAGAAAAACCAATATTGTAGAGATACCTCCTGGGGGAGATTTTGGGGGATATTTTGACTCTGTGTGTGCATGCTTTGCACATACCAGTTATTCTGCTGAGCTTTGCCAGTCAGTGGTACAGATGGAAACGGCAGTACTGATCTCATAGTAAGGGAACAGAAAACACACTACTTAACTGAATTAAATTAGTGCCCCTCTTTTTGTAGTCTTGCTGTCTTGATTCTTGCTATTTCTTCCAGGGAGCTTGACCCTATTTTAACAGAAGTCACTCTGATGAATGCCCGCAGTGAGCTCTACTTGAGATTCATCAAGAGACGAATAATGGCTGATTTTGAGGTGGGAGATGCCATGGCCTCAGAGGAGGTAAAGCAAGGTAACACCTTGAGCACTGATACTCATAGGCTCTGCTTATCAAAGCCAGAAATGGCAATATACCTGAGTTAGTGGCAGAGCAGAGTGACACAGGGTCTGCAAAGACACTTTGGGAGCGCTCTGTGGAAGACAGTTGTGTAGCCTAGACTTTCCAAACCTGCTTTCAGCACTGGTTGTTCCCTCTAACAGGAAAACCAACATTAAGAATGATTGTAGAGTATAACAAAGTAAAGTCTCCAAAGAGGGGAAAAATCATTTGGTCACTGCAAGCATAAATCCTAAAGGTGGAGGCCATGAAAAAAAAGGCTCAAGGTTTTGGTACTCTGTTGAGCTCTGGAAATCACTTTAGTCACCTGCAAAATCCAGCTCAGCAATTTCAGCTCCACAATGGTGGCTTCTGATTTGTTCTAGGCTGGGCTTGGCAGGTGTGTATCTGTTGGGTCCCATGAGACAAGCAGCAAGGGGACTTGCTGGATCTGCCTCCTGGCCCTGGGTTCCTGATGATGGGTCTCTCTTTTGTTCCACAGAGCATCAAAAATACCTGGACAAGCTCCTCAACAACTGTCTGCTGAGCTGCACCATGCAAGAGCTCATTGGCTACTACATCACCATGGAGGAATACTTCATGAGGGAGACTGTCAACAAGGTCAGGGAAAACCTCTTAGATGTTTTTCTGTGTGTTCTCCTCAGTCCTCTGGTGAGCATCCCAAGGGAGGGATATGCTTACATGGCAAATATGCAGTTGTTGGGAAAGTCTTTTGTTTCTCTTGACCTTGAAAAGCAAGTTGTTTTTTCTGAACTTTGACTTCAGACATACCCCAGGTATCTTCCAGGTCTGTGGGCTGCTGCAGACTGGTCTGAGTGGTGCCAGCCACACAGGGTACAGTTCCACTCAAGGTGAAGTGGGCAGATGGGCAGTTTGGTCTCTCAGCACTGCTGGGGCCGTGAGCTCAGGGCACTGAGACAGCTTTCTTTGCAGGCTGTTGCCATGGACAGCTACGAGAAGGGCCAGCTCACCTCCAGCATGGTGGATGATGTGTTCTATATAGTGAAGAAGTGCATTGGGCGTGCTCTGTCCAGCTCCAGCATAGACTGTCTCTGTGCTATGATCAACCACTCCACCACCGAGCTGGAGTCTGACTTCAGGTAATGCAAACACACCAGTTCATTGTAATGTGCCTCCACCTCACGTTCTGCAAACAGTGGTTGCTGCCAGATGGTCTTCCTAGTGTTCTTTGCCTTTGAACCTCTGGCTTGTCATCTCCATGGAAGATGCTCATAGGAAGCATTGGCAGATGTGGGAAGCTGGATCTGGGCATCTTTTCTCACCACAGTGGTGATCCACCTGTAGGATAAACAGAGAAAAGAACCTCATGGCCCAAAATCCCTACAAGATGGAGTTGCCTTGCAGCATTGGGGTACTACCCTGCTTGAGGGTACATGATCACCCCTAGCTGTTCTCTGGGTTACTTAACAACTCAAACTTAGGGTGAGACTGCAGAAATTGTCCTGCTATTTTTCATTCCATTGTGGGAGTGAGGAGCTGTGTCTGAAGACAG